GGGGGGGAAGGGAGGGAAATGCACGGGACTATGGTGGTGGCACAGGGGTGATTTGGTGATGGGAAACCCGCGGGGATTACAATCGAGATGGAAAAAAAAAAATGTGCAAAATGATGTAAAAATAAACTTTGTAATAAAAAAAAAAAATCCTATCCTTTATATCAACAGAAAAATTTTTGCTGACACTTCCTCCTCACCTATTCACCACCTGAAACTAGGTTCCTGCCTCTACAGCACTCTGGACATCCCTCTCTTCTTATAGCTATCACTTAGCACAGATGGGTTCTCTCTTCAGGTGTTAAGTTGAACAAGTGATGGCACGTAAAACAACTAGAATTATAGGTGCTTTTTTTAAAAAGTACTGACTTTTAATCATTATGAGACCAGAAAATTACTAAAACTTACTGAAAAAATGCTGGGAGAGTGGTGACAAAGAAGCGGCCACTCAAACCTACAAGATAAATGAACAAAAAAGTTACAAGTCAAATTCTGATTAACCCAAATATCTAATTTAATTCCCAAAACAAGAATTTTTGAACTTCTTTCATAACCATATTATCAAAAATCATTGTAATAATTGAACCATATTTACTATTTACTTAAATTTTATTTTTAACCATTATTATTTACCTAACATTTTCCAGTCACTGATACAGAACTTGCTCAACTTCAATGTGTTACATTGCATATCAATTGGAATTGTCTGATGGCTGAAAGAACAGGTATTAGAATCATGCAATCCAGGTCAAATACTAAATTCTCCATTTATTAGCTTTGTGACCTTAGATAAATTACTTTTCTATAGTCTCAGGTACCTCATCTGTAAAACTGGCATATCAGAGTTTAGTTCAAATGGTCTGAACTAGAATAGATCAGTGTGTTAAGTGCTAAGTACATAATAAAGATGCAATACGTTATAGGTAGTATTAGATGATGCAGGTTTAAAAGAACAATAAATAATGAAATGATTATTTAAAACCTTTGCACATTTATAAACTTTGCAAGCAATACCAAGGGACTCTATGTACATTGAACAGTTTTTCAATTTGTCCTAGAAAACCTTTACAGATTCTTAACTACATATTAAATGCTATACAAAGTGTATATGAAGACAAAAATATTTTAAAACCCTTACTCACTTAACAAGTATTTGCTCAACACCTGCTTTGTTCCAGGGACTAAGGTAACAGATATACTAAATAAGCAAAAACAATCTTTGTTTCACTGAGTTCACTTACAATCTTGGGGCACAGGCAAAGATTATAATAAAATGAGCACAATCATGACTATAAACAAAGATAATGATTTCCAGAAAAGGAATAAGCAATAAAATAAAAACAGAATGAAGCTAGTAGTAAAGAATATATTCCTGCTTTTTACAAGTTTAGAAATAAATATTTATGTGGACACCATGCATGAGGTGGTTCTAGCAAAAAAAAAAAAAAAAAAAAAAGCTAATATTTGTCATCATTTCTCCCTTTCTCACCAAAGAACAACCTACAAAATGAGATGTCTCTTCAAAGAAAGTAGATTAAATTTTCTATCTCTGTGATCATTTGCAATTGGCAATGTTAAACTTTTACTTTTAAACACATAATGTTTATACCCATTTTATAAATCAATATTCAACAAAATAATTTATTGATTAATAATGAATCTGCCTATTTTATCTCACATCAGAACAGGACTAAAATATTCCTATGCCACTGAAAAGAAAGCTCAGCACTCTGAAGGTAGCAAAAAGTCAATATTACAACAGGAGACATTTCTTACTTGCATTTCTAACCAAAAAGGGGGAGGGTAAAGTATTAGCAATAACAAAAATACAAATGACCTAAGAAGTCCACTGAGGATCATACCAAGTATATGTCCATGGGACATTTTTACCTCTAACAGTGCTTGAAATTCTACACTACGAGGGATTAAGAATATTTTTAAGGTATTTCCAACTCCAATTTGCAAAGAAAAAAAGTACTGGTAATCAAAGTTAGAATAAAATAAGAAGTTATAATAAACAAATTTAGTCTTAAACATTTCAAAATTATACACTGTTCTGAATAACATTTTTATAAATAAATCCATAAAAATCAATAAGCATAGAGAAAATAAGGAAAAAAATACAAGAAATAAGAAATAAGAAATCATTACAATTTTAGCTTAAAATACTTACTGCAAACAGGTTTCATATTTACAGCTTTCCTAGTTATAGATTCTTATAACCACCCAAAATCTTATAGAGGGAGAGTTAGAGTAGTATGGAATTACACTTTATGTGATATAATAAAATGGAATGAGTATACAACATCTCATCACCTCAAGTTTTTATTCAGATTTATTTCTATCAGATTAAATAGACAGAACTTCTAATAAATGTTAGGTTTCACTGCAGGCAATATTTTTAATTTGTGCTTCAAAATCCTCATATTTTGGTCATCACTAGCTGTAGCAATAAATAAAGTAAATGAATAAATCAAAAAATATTTCACAAATTGTCTTTAATACAGAAAAATAAATTCTAGGATTTATGTAAATGTATATAAATAGGTATCATAATTTCTATCTTGTAGTATCTTAGTATTAGATGATTTTACATTTACAAAGTATATACAAAAACAGTACTATCAATACATAAATGCCATAACCTTTGAATTAAATTCTAATTCAAAGTTAGAATAAAATAAGAAGTTATAATAAACAAATTTAGTCTTAAACATTTCAAAATTATACACTGTTCTGAATAACATTTTTATAAATCCATAAAAATCAATGAGCACAGAGAAAATAAGGAAAAAAATACAAAATCAAAAGATGACCTCTGAAATTTTTCTGTATATATTTCTAAAGCAGGCTAGCAAATTTAACACAATTGTCCCAAAAGTGTAAGTATAAAGGAATAAGAATTTTATAATTCCTGGTAAGAATTTCTGTGGTGTTCTATAATTACTGTTTACCAGACAGCCAATTAAAAATTATTTACAATAAAAATCACTGGGCCCTCCCTGGTGGCACAATGCATTAAAGCGCAGCACTATGAAGCTGTCTGCAGCCACTGTTGCAGCACAAGTTCAATCCCTGGTCAGGGAGCTGACCCACATGGTGTGGCAGACCTCTCCTGACCTGCCCACTGCTCCCCTCAGCAGTGTATTTCAGTCAATCCTCCTGTTCTGTTCCCCACTCTGTCTCTAATAAATCCTCTAACTTCCTACACCTCTGGCCTGTACCCCAGTTCTTGTATCCATAAATAAATACATCTTCAAAAAATAAAAATAAAGATCACTGTCAATTAATTGTGGTATCAAGTTATGTTTCTTGTCAGTATTTCTTCAAATGATAATCCATGTGGAATATTAGTCACATAACAACGTTTAACTCAGAGATGAGTTTTGTTTTTTTATCTGGAATGTTGTACATCACTAAAGATGTATTCACTAAAATCAACAATAATAAAATTAAGAGCAGCCAAAGTAATCTTTTGATCATAACACATTAGTAAGTCCTTGAAGATTTGCTATCACAGATGATACATCTCAAATACACGTCACTTCTCAGAGAATGGAAGACATGGAAAAGCCCTGGGTCTTGTGAGTACTCCCAAACATCATCTTCCCTTTATACTTTTGCCAAGAAGTGTTGAGATTTTCATTCCCTGAAAAGTTTAAACCTTGCAACAGAGAAGCACTATCTGAGGTCATGGCTAGAGGGTATACAAACAGGACTGTTAGGCCAGCAGCGCAGGCCGGCCAGGGGGGCCCCCTGACCTTATAGCCTACTGATAGTATCCAGGAAGCGGCAGATGTCATGACACAGGACTCCGCCCACATTTCTGGTTGTGCAGACTGGGGACAGCTTGGACCTTGACTTCCTCTGTCAAGTCCAGTGCATTCTGCCTTGGCTGTTCTGAGCTCCCACCCTGCCTCTCCCTACAGCTTTTTGGTATAAATTCTCTCCCTGCACTCCTTTGGCCCAGCACCCCCTCCCTTGGAGTCACGTAAGGCAACTGGTCCCAAGAAGCCTCTCTTGTCTAAGGCCATTTGTATGGGCTCCTTTCGGGAACACCTTACATGGATCGTAAAGAATTACAACAGCACTTGCAACAGCTCATGTCCAGGTTTGTATGGTGGTTCATGCAACAAACTTCAGGACAGGTGTTGTAAATGGGCAACGTAAGCATGCTTAAATCTTCAAAGAAAAAAGATAAAGTTGATCATAAGGTTTCCCAAAAATTTGGCATGAAATTTGGCATGTCTTTAAGAGTTAACTTCCACTTTAAGATAAAGAATGTATTGCACACAACATAAAAGGGATATTAATCCATAGTGCAGGGGAAAATTAATTTTTAATAAGTAAGCATATCTTAAACACATTTAAAAGGGATTAAAAGATTAAAGAGAAAATTAGATTTTGAAGGAGAAAAATAACAAATTATTGAAGGGTGGTATTTATAAAATAGGGATTGCAATCAGCTTTTGTTCTACATTGGCATGTTACCTTGGGTAAATTACTGAACCTCTCTAAACCCTAGGTTTTCTGGGAAAAAAAAAAACTACTTTACTCTTTCTAGAGATGTTAGTGAAGTTAAACTATATGTATAAGTGCTTACCACAACTATAAGCAGAAGTAAAACAATGGGGGTGGGGGGTTGGGGGTAAGTAGAAGTAACCATGCCTTTGAGGTTGAAATAAAGTTGTCAATGTAATAGAATACATAACAAACTAATTTTTCAATGATAAAATTTAAAGATTAATGTTCACTAAAATTCAGTAAACTAAATGTACTTCTGTAATAAGTTAGCGATGTTAAACATAAATGTCCACATTTACGGACTTGGTGAAGCACTCTGCTCTACCACCAATCTCATGAAATAGCAGTCACCCATGATGGGTGCTCTATGAGCGGCTGCTATTTTTCTGTCCTTAGCAGCTAACCTCATTTGCATGAAACAGAAGGCTTAAGAACAAACTCATTAAATTTAATTTCCCAAATTCAACTCAACTGAAACATTACCTGGTCTATGCAGTATTAAAAAGATAATGCAAGGTAATCTAATCTAAGATCCCTCCTTTCCTGTCTCTACATCTTATCTGTAGAGAAACAGTGTGATTATAACCCCCGGAGTCTTTATCTTTTTGAATTCCTATTTTCTGTATAAAATATTTTTAAAATCTATTAGAAATACCAATGGAAAAGTGTATGGACCTAACTGAAGAGTGTGCATGGGCACTTAAAAAAATTCTTGGTTTTGGCCCTCCCTGGTGGCACAGCGAGTTAAAGCACAGCATTGAGAAGCTAAAGCCACTTCCTCATGAGTTCGATTCCCACCTGCCCCGGAGGTGACCACATGGCGTGGCAGACCTCTCCTGTCCTGCCCGCTGCTCCCCTCAGCAATGTACTTCGTTGATCTGCCTGTTCTGTTCCCCACTCTGTCTCTGGTGAAGCCTCTCACAGCCCCTGAGCCTCTGGCTTGTACCCCAGTTCTGTATGCACAAATAAATAAATCTTTAAAAAAAAAATCTTGTTTTTCAGACACCTGCATTCCCATGCTAATTGCTGCTTTATGTACAAGAGGAAAGTCATGGAATCAACCCAAATGCCCAAAATTGTATGACTGGATCAAAATGTACACAATAGAATATTACTCTGCAACCAAAAAAGATAAATTCATGACTCTTGCAGCAACATGGATGGAGCTGGAAAGGATCATGCTTAGTGAAATAAGCCAGAAAGAAAAAGAAAAATACTGGATGGTTTCACTCATAGCAGGAGCATAAAGGACTGGGGGGGGTGGGTAATAGTAATGTATAACTATATACCAGAGACATTTTACGGGGGTAGAGTGGGAAATGGGATCAAAAATGGGGAGGGGGGGTGTTAGTGCACGGGACTTTGGTGATGGCACACGGGTGAATTGGTGATGGGAAGCCCATGGGGATTACAAGTGAGATGGAAAAGGCACAGAATGATGTAAAAATAAACTATTATAATAAAAAAAAAGTCTTGTTTCCCTTCTTCTTATATTTTACTTGCAGGGGAAAGAAATGGAATTATCCCTTACTAGCCCACCTGTGGCAAGGCAGTCTCAATGAAAGAATGTACTAATGGTGGTTTGTAACCAAATATAAATAGGTATATAGAAATATCCAGTAAAGTGCTTAACTGCAGAGAAAAATAATACATTTCAATAGTTTTCCACTGTTCATTCAGGATGTTAAATTTTGTAAAGATAAATACTCAAATAGTTTTCAAGAAAAGGGATAAACTGCCCAAGGATTACCAAGAAATTAGTGCCACATGTGACATCTTGTAACAGGGTGGTCCCCACGTAAAGGGGAGTTTCCAGACTCCCTGGCCCCCAGAAGATGGGAGGAGCTGAGCAGGGAGAAGTTGGACAGGAGACTGGAAAAGGAGGGAAGCAGGATGGAGAGCCAGAACGTGACATGGAGCAGAGAGACATGTGAAGAAACTACATTTGCCTTTTGGCCCTGGACTGGGTAAAACATGTGGGTGAGAGACCTGTAGGGAGGTTCATAGTGGCAGGGTTTATCTCGATTTTGTACTTTTCCTCCCATACTTGTCTGAATGTTTCTGACCCTTTTCTATGGGTCTCTGCCAGAAGGTGTTTTTTAGACTTATAGCAGGTGTTCAGGCCTTGCTTTGGGCCAATCCCATTTGGGTGGAATTTTAACCATAAAGGGATGGATAACTTTGGTATTTGATGTAGAAACTATATTCTTTGACTTGTCTGTGTTGACTACTAATTATATTAAGGTTCTTTCCATTAAAGGTCTTACAATGTCTTGATGCATCAGATGGCAGAACATATTTAGAGTGAGCAGGTTTGGAGGTACTGGGGTGCCCCTATCCCTGCTCTGTAACGAGCACACAGGGGAACTCCTCCATATTACCTAAGGCTAGGCAAGCAAATTAACATCTGACAGATTAGTCAGAGAAAAAAGCCAAAAATAAGGACAAGATCTGTTCTCAGGCTTTAGGGTCCTCACTGCTTTCAACTTAAGATAATTTACATTCTTTTAAGTAAATATAATGGACTTCTTTAGAGCCACAGGGCCTTCACTGACCTTAGTTCCCTATAACAAGGTAACATTAATTCAAAGATGTTGACCCTTCCATACTGAGAAAAGTCTATCTGACCCTTTTTGAGGAAACTAACTCTATAATACCCTTTCTTTCTGAGGAAACTAACTCTATAATACCCTTTCTTTAACCAACTTCTAGAAGCCCCTACTTTTCCATATGTGATCAGCTTCTCCTTTTAATCTACAGAAACTTTTGTAATAAGAGTTCTCTGAAATTCACTCCTTAAAACACTTCTCCAACATACACTCTAAGTAACCTTAAATCTTCCCCTCGTTTCAAATACCATCTACCTTGATCATCCTCAAATGTATATTTTAATTTATATTTGGATTTCTATCAAACAACTTAAGTCCTGTTCCAACAGCACTCATCCTTCAATCTTTGCCACCTTCTGTTTTTCTGTCAAATGCTATAGCCAATCTATTAGGAAATCTTTTGAAAAATCCAGGCAGGGCCCCCCCTCGGTGGTGCAATGGGTTAAAGCACAGCACTGTGAAGCCATCCACAGCTACTGCAGCACAAGTTTGATCCCAGGCCAGGGAGGTGACTGCATGGTGTAGCACTACTGTCCTGTCCTGTCCACTGCTCCCCTCAGCAATGTATTTCAGTCAATCCTCCTGTTCTGCTCCCTACTCTGTCTCTGATGAAGTCTTTCGCCACCCCTGAGTCTCTGGCCTGTACCCCAGTTCTGTATGCACAAATAAATATTTTTAAAAATAATAATAATAAAATAAAAATTATAGAGCTCTACATTTAAAAATTGTTACAATACATATAGCAATTACTTTCCCTTTTTGGGCTCTGTTTATTCATTATTCCTATAGTTTATGTCTAAATAACAGATGAACAAAGTGGTTTTGATTCAAATGCTTATGGCTTTAAACAGAAATATCTCCCCATAGGTGTATCAACATACTGATCTTAACTACATCCTACTAAGAAGGGAATAGCTACACTTCCCTATCTACCTTCCTTTGCCCCCTTGTAAATGAATGGAATAGGCAGAAATTGAATAAGTACACAAGAAAAAAAATGACACATTTTGAAAACAGTCAAATTTGAGGTTTAAATTTTAAAAGTGCAATGTTTATTTTTCATTTATATATAACACACTAAGCTATTTTTAAACTACAAATTAAAAATGTATTGTATATACTTTCAGAATTTAAAAATCTCCTGTATTTCCCTCTTTCTTTTGAAAAATTACATCATTAACAGCTATGAATGTAGACAAAATGACAGGATTACAAAACTACTCTTCTGGCCCACAATAAAATATATGATTCAGGAAAATTAGCAACAGACTTAAAACCTCAGAGTATCACACTACAGATTACTTGCTAATCACAAAGTAGGATCTTTTCTTTATAACTGAGAAATTAGTTTCAGCATCTTAGTCAAACTAAAACTCAACATAATAGTGACAGGATCTGTCTTCTGATGAAATGTATTACCAAATCACTGTTAAAATATTTTGCCATAAACATTTACTATCAAACTTGCCTCTAGAATAAATTTCAAACTTACAGAAAATGCAGGAAAAAACACCACCACCACCACATAGGCAAAACCCTGCCATATTATTTTATGAATATCAGTGTCACAAAAAAAAAAAAATGGAGGACTGTTCTAGATTGAGGGAACTAAAAACACACAGCAATCAAATGTAAATGAACAGTGATTATATCCTGGTTCAAAACACTATAAAAGATGTTTGGAGAATAATTAAGGAGATATTCATATGCTTAATTATCAAACATTAAAGTATCATAAAGTCTGAAATATATTTTCAAGTGACTCAGCAAAAAATACATAAATAAATATACACTTGTGTAAGCACATACCACATACAACCCAGATATGCTATGTTACCTCTGATTCTAGGTACATGGATCATAAATATCCTAGGAACTTTTCTATATGCTTTAAGAAAATATAAAGTGACAAACTTTGGCAATTAATGTTCAACATTGACAGTACCTGGTTCTTGAATGACATCTACCTTTCCCACACTAATCTGAAGAAGTTCACCGTTCTTCGCAAATGTTTCCCATTCTGAATCAGTCTGCTGGCAGGATGGACACCAAGGGGCATAACTATAAAAGAAAAACAGCTAATCAACATAAAGGTAGGAAAAATAACTGCAATATGAAATGAAAAATAGTATTAAAAAATAATTCCTTATTAGATGAAAGCATAAAAGCAAGGTTTTCCAATCACTTGACATAGAGAAACCAAAGTACAAATTCCCTCTAGGAAATAATCAATTCTCTGAGAAAAAAAAATAGCCTAAGTTCAAAAGATTTTCACAAATGACTGTAATACATTTTAACTATTATATAAAAATATTATTGTATTAGTTACTATAATACAATGTAATTCATTTTATATGAATTTTATTTTTACAATTTACCCAAATTTTGTCACTTTCCTGATATCTTTGTATTTTTCAGTGTGAAGTTGTAAGTGTGTCACTGAAGGAAGACACCTTTCACAAGTTTTGCTGCACTAGTCAAACCAGTTTCAATCCTTCAAAGTTACTTTTGATGAGCAGTATCCAGAAGATCTGTTGCTAGTGGGTCCCAAGAGTGAGTCACTTTCAAAGATCAGTAACAGTTCTAAACTGTCCCAATAAGTAGAAACTATTAGCTAAATCAACTCTGACACTTTCTTAAACAGAAATTCAAACACCTGGGCCTTCAACTGGACCCCTGCTTTCTACTGTTTTTTATTCAATAAACAAACTGGGCACCATGCTAGAAGATGAGATTACAACTGTGAACAGGAGAGAGGCAGTGATTACCCTCCTTGAGTGTACAATCCAGACATGAACAGAAGCAATCACTGGAGTAATCACAATCTAGGCCACAAAAGCCATGGCTGAGACATGCTATGAGACACTCAGAAGCTTGGTGATCTCAAAGGGCCCACAGAGAAACACATCTGTGCTAAGAGCTAAAGTAGAAATAACATCCTAAGAGGGGAGCAAAAGGTATGTTCTAGTCACATGTAAACAGTGTGTGAAGGCTCAGAGTACTGAGACAGGATGAAAACATCATGCACAGGATTTTAAAAAATTGTATGGGGAATTAAGACTACATTTAACTTCATTATAAACACAAAAGATGTAAGAGAATTATGATCAGATTAACATTTTGGAGAAACCGCCCAGTAGTTCTCTATGGATAATAGATTAGTAAAGGATGAGAAAAAACAAGAAAATCCTGAAGGTTTGGCTGTCATCTGGGCACTAAGCATGAGGCCTCCTCACTTTGCCCTCCCATGGCCCTGGAAAACATCACAAATATTCAGACTACAGAGTGCTAATGTGGTCCAGGATTTCTACTGGAGTTGTTGAAACAGAAAACCAAAGAGGTCTGCTGTTTAGAAAGTAAAATGTGTTGAGTAGGATCACCTAAAAAGGTAGGCCCAAGTCCTAAGGAGTGAATTGTGACCTGTATTTGGGAAGAGTCTTTTACATACGTATTTAAATTACAGACCTGGAAATGAGACCATCCAGTATCTAGGTTAGGCGCTAAAAACAATGACTAGTGTTCTTAAGGCCACATGAAGAAGTTGCAAGTGATGCTACTATGCAGCCAAACCAAGAACGCAAAGGGCTACAACTGAGCTAAGAAAGGCACATACTCCATGGGGCCTCCAGGTCGATATCAATATTTGATTTGGCGTTTTTTGTCCTCAGAATAGTGAACAAAGAAATTTCTGTTATTTTAAGCCACTAAATTTATGATAATCAGCAATGATGCAGGAATTAATAAAGAAAAGAAGATATTTAAAATCAGAAGGAATTGGGATCAGCTATGCCTGATGGTGACTTACAGGGCTAATTGAGCTATAATTAATGTAAAGTACTGGGAACAAACATTAACACATGCGGGTAATCAATTTTAAAATAACTAGTACATAACACAATTACAAAGAAAATTAATACTTAGAAAATGAACAAAAATGCTTTAGTAAAACTGGAGAGATAGTCTCTCTTGAATAGTAAAATCCAGAAGAAAAAAAACACTAAGTAAAATAATCAATGCTCAAATAAACAGATACTCCAGGAAAAAAGAAATCTTGGGGCACTTTGAAAATTTTCAGGATGTCACTGGTTGGACAAAATTTAAAAATCTGCTTAAATTATATTTTTTAAAAATCCTAACTCAAATCAAACTTTTTTTTTGTTTTTTAGATTTATTTATTCATACAGAGCTGGGATACAAGCCAGAGGCACAGGGGCGGTGAGAGGCTTCACCAGAGAGAAAGTGAGGAGCAGAACAGGCAGATTGATGAAGTACACTGCTGAGGGGAGCAGCAGGCAGGTCAAGAGAGGTCTGCTGTGCCATGTGGTCATCTCTAGGGCCAGGGATCAAACTCGCACTAAAGCGGCTGTGGCCAGCCTGCACTGCTGTGCCCTAACCTGTTGTGCCATCAGGGAGGGCCCTCAAACTATCAAGGGGATAAATGTAATACATATATTTAAAATATTTTCTAACTCAGTGTTTTGATGTTTTAACTCCATCAAGTTTGTAGGTAAGATCACTTCTTTAACTTAAACAAATTTTGGAAAATTTGAAAAAACTCTTAGTAGGAGTTGAAAAACTGCTTATTTTTTTTTTTAAAGATTTATTTATTTGTGCATACATAACTGGGGTACAGGCCAGAGGCTCAGGGGTGGCAAGAGGCTTCACCAGAGCAGAACAGGCAGATCTACGAAGTACACTGCTGAGGGGAGCAGCGGGCGGGTCAGGAGAGGTCTGCCACACCATGTGGTCACCTCCAGGCAGGCGGGAATCGAACTCATGCGGAAGTGGCTTTAGCTTCTTAGTGCTGTGCTTTAACCTGCTGCGCCACCAGGGAGGGCCGAAAAACTGCTTATTTTTTAAAAGATCATTTCTAGGATACATTGTCAAAAACAGTAAAAATAAAAATTGACAACTCTACCAAAACCATGACACTTGCAAGTGAAAATGGAATTCACTGTTTTCAGGAGAATGAACACTCCATCATGGTAATGACTAGTACATTCCTCATACTTAGAACATCACGTGATGGAGCCCAGGACACAGTATATGTTTATTATATAAATTAACAAATGGCAGATGATAGTGATTAACCTTAATACCTAAGAAAATACATACAGATGTTTCCTTCAGTAATATACTTGAGGAATCTCTTGGTTAAAATCTATTCATTTATTGACTTAGTCAGATAGTACTTACTGAACACCTAGTTTGATAGTTATTCACATGGAGATAAGAAAAAAGACAAACAAATAAACAAAACCTTAATCCTCTACCTACATAAACTTATCACCCAGTGGAGGAGTTAGACAAAATCTTACTACAAAACATGTAAATAAATAGATTTGTAAGTTCTGATAAGTGTGATACTAGCTAAAAACAATGCACAAAAGAACAATTTACTGATATGGGTAGGGGTGGGGGGTAGACTGGCATGTAAAAACAGGGCTCCTATTTGAACCCTGAGGAGTCTCAAGAATGGGCAGATAGCCAAGAATGCTGTTTACTTGCAAAATCTAGAGATGGTATAACCACAGTGGGCCTCTGTATCATAGAAAATAAAGGCCTCATACAGGTCAAGGTGCTAGCCAGTTGAGAACACATAATCTCCAGGATTACATGCCTTGGTCCAGCCCCTTCCACCCATGCTGATTCCCCAGGAATAGCACAGACCTGCATTTGTTCTAGTTCTGGTGTTGCCTAACATTACTAAGGTTTTGATTTTGGCCGAAGCTTGAATATTTTCCAAATTTTATCTCCTCAAGATAATAAGAATGCAAATGATATTTCTGCATCAATTGCTAGAATGCTCAAATAAGAAAGCATTCAGAATATGTCATATAAAGATTCTAATTGTTTACTGCCACTGAAATGATGAAGAGAAGGAAGGGATGAGCAAAGAGGACCCTTTGGAGGAAACAATCTGAAATCAAATACTAAGGCACTATAGGTGCTCCTTTTTACATGTCTTTAAATCGCCTTAACAGTACCCAGGGTGGTAGCTTTTGCTACATTTAGTTTGGAAATAGGGATAGAGGTTGTGAAATTATTTTGATGTCCTATGTTCCTCTAGGTATCAGTTTAATGGTAGGCAGGACAAAAAATTAAGCTACTTGGATATCTACTTATTTCTTTTGGGGAGAACAAGCTACCAGAACAGTATACAGAATGTATTGTATTGTGTTTCAAATGAACAAAAGAAGTAGTCACAAGGACTGATATACTGAAAGTCAAACAAGTATTTAAAATAATAAAAGATTACAAAGGAACAGACTGAAGAATAGTATGAAACAAAGAAACAGAAGGACTCATTAGAGGGCATTTTGAAGATTAGATAATCTTCCTAATTTAGAGAAATGGCAAACTTTCTCCAGAGATTAAGATGAAATAGGAAGCAAGCCAATGTTACAGTCACAATAGAAAGGGCTAAAAACTATAAAACAGAGAAAAGCTAAGTATAAAACAAGTCCATAACTTTAAATGAGAAATATTTGTGGGACAAGAGCCACAATACTGCACAGTTTAAAAAAGGTTTCAGAATTCAAATGAATTCCAGTGAATTACTTAAAAATATATTTTTAACTGATATGTCTCCCTGATATGTCTGCTTTTTAAAAACTTAAATTCAAATCCAAAGATCCAAAATACTGACAAAAAAAAAGAGAAAATTTAACAAATTAAATTCTTTAATAGGTTTCTCAGAGTAAACACTGCTAGGTCTTTAAAAATAAATTTTTTATAACAATAAACCAGGAATTACACTACAGCTTTATACTAAAAGGAAAAAAGTCCCCAAATATAGACAGCATGTAAGCAAATGAATAAAGACCTGCGAAAGTAATGACAAATTTTCAGTACCATCAGGCCTCCCAGCATGTTCTTTAGAAAAACCTGGGAACCCCATATAACCTCCATTTATTATGATCAGTTCACCTAAACAAAATACAAACGTGGAAGGTAGTATTAAGGCATTTTCTGTTAAGGAAAAAAAAAATGTGATAACTTGCTAGCAATTTCAGTTTCCTGTATTTATACTTTAGAAAGTGTTGTATTTTGTCAAAGGGAGGAGAATTTCACAAGTACACAAGAGCCATAATATTTCTTCAGGACCAGCAAGCCCAGGCTCTGGTATATAGGAAGAAATTTCTATTAAGGCTTAAGTCCTCTTTCCTTTCCCGTCTTGCTTCAAATCAACTTATTCTGAAGCACACTCAATGAGTGTGAATTACTAAATGATCAAATGTGTACACAGTTTACATATATTGCATGTTACATATATTATTTTGCATCACAGCCCAAATTCCCTACAATGGACACATGAAAGGTTTAAAACAACTGATTACTATGTCTAGATGTATACATTTATAAAGAAGTAAAATCTGAATCATCAACAAGGCCAAACATGAGAGTTGTTGGTAGTTGCTCACTTATAAATTTAATGTGGCTTACACTTGGTTGAACTTTAGTGTTCTTAGTTCTTTAACTAAAAAAAAGCCATAGCTATCCTAAAAGGGATTATAAAGGAGTTGAGATCATTAAATGTAACCTGTCTTTTCTGCTTGCTTTCACTCTGCACACACAAACTTAATTTTAAACTGAACATCTATTTTAAAAACTCCATTGTGTAAGCACCAACTGAAATAAATAACTTTCTGTAGTAGCTGACAAAATGACAGCTCTCAGTAAAACTTCACTTACTTCAAAGGAAAATGGCTTCCTCACCTTCATCCAAAGTAGTGTAGTTATTTAATAAGTGCTTCATGTCCACAGATCTCTTTAATAAGTTCATTGATTGATGACTACGATCCCAAAGGCACTTTACTTTGACCTCTAAGGTATCCACTTCTTTGTGACCAAAAATTAAATCTGAAGGGGTAATGCGTATCATGTTCTTTGAACAGCGTGATCTGCTAAGTGACATAACTTTTTGTCCTCATCTCTAAGGTTTACAGTCTATGGGCATCAGTTTGCAATCGAAATTCAAAGAATCAAAATTTAGTCTTGGCCAAATAAAGGAAAGATTCAATTCTGTGTGTGTGCCTCTCAGGTAAAATTAATTATGAGTTAGTAGTGATCAAGGTTGCATATTGCCTGAAACTAGAGGCTAAGGACATGTGCTGTCAGGTGCTGTTCAGAAATTTCATTTTCTGTGCAGGCCCACCATGATAGTATCCACCATGATAGTATCTCAAATCAGTTAAGACACTTAAATGCCCACTATCTAGTTAAAACCTTTTTTTCAAATGCTCTCCTCCTCCCTAGAAGTTAATTTCCAGCTACAATGAACAAACTCCTTGCCTGTTCCTAATTCAAAACTATTATTTTCCCATCTTCTTTTGGCAAAGACACTAACAACCATCCATCTTCTATTGTTCAAGAGGGGTGATTTATTAATGTCTTTCCTCTAGTATCCCAGCACAATTAAGTTATGATACCTACCCAAAAAGTCCTCCTTCTAAAAATTAGAAACAAATATCAGTATTTATTTGATTTCTTTTAACATATCACAGACATCCATCATGACATCTCAGGGTCTTCAAAATGAAGGCTCAGGGTTTTTTATGCCCTGCGTGGCGCTGCACTTACTCATTCACAAATACCTACGAGAGCCCATATATTTGTGCTGCATATATATGTCTCTGAATGCTGCTCTCCCTTTTCTAGGCACACACCTCTTTCAAAAAGCACGCGATTTTCTTGCTGATATTCTCGGTTTCCCCTCCTTTCCTAAGTAAACCCAGACCATCCCTAAAACACCAACCACCAAAACAGGGGGCCGGTGAGGCTGCGGTGAGGTGGGTAAGTTACAACCCCACGGCGGGGCGCGCATGCGCCGTGCGGGCTGCAAGTGCCCCCGCGGCAGGTTGTCAGCAGGGCGGGTCCCTGGCCCCAGGTCGAGCCTTGAGGCACCGTGGGGTCCCGAGCGGCCCGCGCGGCACTAAGAGGGTGTTTCCCGCGAGGACAGTGTGGCGAGGCGGGGCGGGCGCGCACACTCACAATTTCAGCATCCACTCGCCCTCCATCACCAGCGTCCAGTTAGAGGCGGTCATGGGGCGCACCCAGCTCCCCTCCTCCGGCACGGTGGCCTGCTCGGGACCGGCCTCTGCCGCCGTCGCCGCGACCCAGGCGGCCAGAAGCGCCGTCAGCAGCGGGCGGCAGCACCCTTCCGCCATGTTGGGGCGCGGAGCAGGGCTTCTCAGCCAGGAGCTGTGAGAGGAAGGGAGCAGCGAAGCCCGGGTCTCGCTCGCCCAGGGGGCGAGGACTTTTCTGGCACTTTGCGAAGATGCCGAGTCGCCCCGCCTCCTCCAGCCGCCACGAGCCCTGCCGCTCAGGCGGGTGGCCTCCGCCGCCTCTTATCTGTCCAGGCCCGACGAGGCCACGCCTCCTCCCGCCTAGTCTTGCCGTTGCCCGGGGTGTCAGTTGCCTTGGCAACGGCCGCCCTTTCTTCCGGGCCGCTAAGCTGAAAATAAACAGATGACCCAATGTTGCTTAAGTTAGAACATGCACTGCGTCTGCCCGGGCTCCCCAGCAGCGGGGCTTGGCACGTGTGGGTTTTTTCTAAAGAGAGACATGGCCAGTCATTTTAAAATGCATCCCCTATTTAATGGTAGCAAAAAATAACAACAGTGTAAAGTAGCCCTGATTAATGAAAGATGAAAGGAGATGGGAGAGGTAAATGTTAAGCACTCTCAGCGTGTATCTCCTGAAGTATCATTACTTAACTGGAGATAGCAGTATAACTAGACTTAGCAATTTTATTTATTTTAATAATTTTAATTTTATAAACTTTTGTTTGTCAGTCGTTTATAAATCTATGTAACTTTGGTTGTACGATTTTTTATACCTCCACAAGAGTGCTTCCCTCACTCTTCATCAAAACTCCTGTGGGTACTAAAATATAATGAGTCATTAATAAGGATAGTGTCAGTTCGTTCCAATAAAATGAAACTCCCACTTCTCTTAGTTTTGTCAGATGTGAAATGAGTAACTTTGAATGATTTCCAAATCTCTATGCAGATACATGTTAGTTCCATCTGTGTCTTAAAACCACCTACTCTTACTATGTTGACTGAATTACAACCAGAAAATGGATGAATCCTTTCAGAGGTTGTGCTATAATTAATTACTAGGTCAGCAAAGTATAAACTGATAATGTGTTCGATATATCATGAATAACATGTTATTTTTGTTATCAGAGTAAAATAAAACTGCCTATCTAAACAACCAAAGAGTATAGGGTATTTGAGATCAATTACCAATCAGTAGTTGTAGAAGGGAATAATTTTGCCTGTAGAGAAATTCCTCACTGAATTAAGTTTCAATTAGTGGTATCTACAAGCTATGTAAACCCAGCCCTTATTGACAAAATATAGACTCCTGTGTTTACAAACGATTGTAAATTTGGATAATGTCTTTACCATAAATGCTATTAAGAATCACTGTTACTGTATACAGATCTTTCTTATAAACTCAATGCAAAAAAAAAAACTTATTGTGCTTATAAAAAGAAATGATTCATATGTGGAAATTCTATCATTCTTTTCAGTGAAGCTTTTGTATATCATATATAACTGGTTCAAATTGGATCTGATTTAAGGATTGCTACTAATTGTGTTAACTGTCATGATGCTGCTATGACTATATTTTTTAATTTTTATTTTATGTCTAGAATGTACAATCTTCAGAAATAAAACGTGAGAAGTGGAGGGAGATGGAGAAAACAAAGGTAGCACAACTTCAATTACTGTTGAACTAAATTCATTTTGCTGACCTATCTGCTTTTGTTTGTGCTAGAAATATTGCAAAATAATAAATCAGAAAGAGAGCACATCTGAAGCACAAAGAAACTCACTGATAAAGCCCTTCCTATGTCTAACTAAAATGTGTGTCCATGGTTTATATTTCTAGACCTTCAAACTAATGCCAGAAGAAGTAATATAGCAAGAATATTATAAGGTTGGATGGTGGAGAACAGGGTAAGGGAGCACTTGCTTTAAGGCCATGAATGTTACATTTGCCTGCACTTTCTACCTATACCACTTGCGGTTAAAACTAGCCCCAAACCAATTAACACCAAAGGTCTGTTGAAAGGCAGGGAAGAAGGCCTCGCAGGTGGCCTAGCGGTTAAGTCTACAGGACACCCGACTGCAGCCTAGCTCCCTGCTATGGAGCTAACCCACTCCACTAATGGTACAGCAGACAGCTCCTATTGTAC